AGCATTGTCCCAGTATGGATCTTTGAGAGACATCACTCCTTACTGGTTTTCACCAGTCATCAATGTAGCCCTTGGTTTCAAAACCTAGACTACAACGTGTATAAAAAGTATTGTATGATATCGCTGTCCCATGTTATGATCCCAGAAACCATCTTCTGTCAGTTGTTTCTAAAAGAAACTGGAGGATGCAGGGCTCAAATTAAGTCATAGAGATACCAGGAAGACACAAGATGTTGCTGTTACACAGAGCCGTTCCTTTTATATGAAAACTGAGTGAGATTAACTGCTGAAGAACAGGTAATGGGATATTTATTAACAGATACAGATGGTCTTTCTTTCCCATCAACTACTGAGTTGTCCAAACAAAACAAGCTGTGGTTAAAAATGAAGATACAGTGTGTTTTGAACCTTGACAGTAAGAGGAAAACTGCTTGCCTGTAATTCATTTGCACTGGAATCATTCTCTCAAAAGCTTTACTATTCTTAGGGGGAAAAAAAACCCAAAACCCAACAACACTGGGTTATCATGAACTTCTTTTAAGAGTTTAGAGTTCCCTGTAGAAAAAGATATAATAGATATAACGTCATTACCTGTTGTTCAGTACAGTAGATTTAAATTATATTAGTCACAGTGATAAAGCATTTTCACGTTTAAACACTGAGATAGTAAAATTTGCACTCTGGTTCTTTGAATTGAACATGACTAAACTTTAAATGAGCTGTCCGTGAAAAACAGTGTGATTATTTTTTATTTCACGTTTACTTATTGCTCATGATGTGATGATTCAGTGAATTGTCATCATCCATGAAGTCTGTATAATGTTGAAATTATACTACTTTAACCATTCTCTATTACTATTGTACAATACTTTGTGTAATGTTATGTTCAAATTAATTTTCTACAAAAACAATTATATTTCTGGAAGCATTACTTAGATAAGAACAGTGCCTTGGTCTTAAAGATTTAAGATAATCATGACTTGTATTTTTAGAAAATTAACTATCCTCCTAAGACTTTTAAAAAAAGCTAATGAACTTAGGTAGAAGCTTGAAAATTATTCCAATACATTGCCACCTGAAAATAAATTTAATGATCTGGAAAGTTTTGGTGTTTGCTATTTATTATTTTAGTTATATTTGAAAAATGCTTCCTATTTCCATTTCTCACTTGGTTTCTTAAGAAATTCTCATATTGGTGGAGATCATTAGAGTTTACCTACTTTTAGATACTTTAGGTCAGTCATACTGAAATGCATAACCAAATATTGGAATAAGAAATAATGGATACATCATTTTGAATTCAAATGGAAACAAGGATTATTTATATCCATTAGAGAATCCAATATTTTTGATTTGATTTTGATTCCACTATTCACAGTAGGCCTCTACCTTTAATGGAAAACACACACCCTAACACCAGTGATGTAATGGATTTGTTAACATTAGATTTACCAGTAACATCTCACAGCAAAGCAGATGATGCAACTTAATTTATTTTTCCTAGACCAACTGAGAAACAGTTACCTACACTGGATTTAGGATTTCAGATACTCTCCTTGGAAACAAATTTTTAGGTGCATAGAGAGCTGTGGAACATCCTACAACAAAATCTAGACAAACTCTCATTAAAGTCTGGTTAAATTTCCAGACAGTAGGTGTTAAATTCAATTTACACTACTGGATTTTTTTTAAGAAAGTACAGTTTCCAATTTGGAAACTTACTGAAATGTTGAGCATCAGCCTCAATTAACTGACATAACCAGACCATCAATCTGGGTTCAACTGGTAACTCCATCAGTCGCTCTTGCTTATCACTTGTGTTTCAGTATGGAAAACACACCTTCTATCTTTGTAAAAGGGAAGAATTTTAAACTGAGTTCTTTTTTTTTCCTTCCTTTCTATGTTTCAAAATTAAGAGAGACTTGGTAGGAAGAATGCACACTATAAAATTAGCAGAGCCCAAGTATCATAACTCGGTCTTAGGAACTGACATAACTGATGGATTTCCATGCTAAAATTGTGCAGATATTTCACCAGGACAGAGGAAATGCAGGGGAGGATTTTTCTTCCACCTAAGAGTATAAAATCAGTGAGAGCCTAAAAAGAAAACTGGAGGAGTTGAAGATGCTGCTTAACCAGAGGTTGGACTGCTCAGCTAAGAGTACTTTCATGTACAGTCATAAACCCTGACAAGAGGAAGGCAAAAATTCTTATCTGAATCCCAAGACCTGAAAAGTAAGCTAAGGAGCTCTGACAGCTCTAAGAATGAGAATTGTATTGTGCTCTGATTTTCCTCAGAGAATAAAGAGTTGATCTGTTTCCTAAAATTCCCAAGACTTAAACTGGAACGGTTTATTCCTGCCTTCTAATACAAAGGGTTTATTTTTCCTTCACATTTGTTACCATAAATGATACAAGACAGAAGGTTTGATCAGAGTCTGAGAACGTGATCAAGAATCTGACAGTATGTGGCTACATCAAAGGAATGACACAGCACTTCACAGACTACCACAGGGCTCCATCTGCACATTCAGCTGTCAGGTTGGGATCCTAGAAAGAAATCCCACCATTTAAACTCACTTATATTTCTGATGCACAATCAAAATCTGAGGACAAAGCATGGGCCACTCATTTGCTTCAGTTTTTAATACTATATTGTATATGCATTTCCAGGAAACACACATTGCATACTCTAAACATAAATTGATGGTTTCTGTTCTTGAGAAAGATAATGGGTCTATCATGTTGAAGAATTTTATCTGGAATTATGGATGAGAAAGATAACAAGTAAGCAGTTAAAGAGTTCAAGGTGTAGGGATTTCTTTCTGTATTTCTCTCAAATATAAGAGTCCAATATAGCCAAAGTTATAGTTAGAATCTGTCCAAGCTATCATCCCTAGTTATCTTTTGGAATGTTTTTGTTCTTCTGTTTATCCAAATGGATCCCTACTTTTTGCTGAAAATACAACTTCGAGGTTAGTTTGGCTTGGATTATGAATTATCCTGAAGGCCTTCAGACCCATTTCCATTTTTCTCCTGAAAAAAAATCTCAATGCAAACCTTTTCTAGACAAATAAAAAATTAACAAATATTTCTGTATTTCTGTTGTGTATTTTGGAGTACCTCAGGGCTATTAGTTGAATACAAATATTTGTGGCTACTTCAGAAAATTAGCAAGCAGAGAAGCAGAAATAAATTTTATGCTGATTTATAACTTCATTTTCTAATCTCGTTTTCCTTTGTTTTTTTTTTTAATGCATAGTCCAATTATCACCTTAGATGAGCAAGAAAATTTTCAAAAGGCGCAGTTGGCTTCTGATGTTCACTAACTTGCAGTGTGAGTTAAAAGCCAGACATCAATAGGCTCCATCTATTTTTTTGCTTTAATGTTTGCTTCCTTTTCTTCTCCTCCTCTCTGACTTTCCTGCTGTGCATTATGAAGAGCAAACAAAATGCTGAGGAAACAGAAAAAACTAAAATCCCTCCATCCCTCAGTTTCCCCTTCAAAATCCTCTCCCCAGCTTCTGTGGTCTATCCCAGTGTATTGTGATAGATCTGGAGATGAGAATTTCTTTTCTTGGAACATGGCTGTGGCTTATTCTAATGCCAGACAAGGCAAATGTGCCACAATTTGTTAGTTCCAAAGAAATAAAGTCATTATTTAAACTTTGACTTCAGTTTTATATAAGCCTTGTATTCTTTATATCAGTTGCTTGCCTCATTCCTGAAAAAAATGTCATGAGTTCTCTGAAGTAGAGTCAGTAATTGAATTCTATGTATGACACTCATGCATATTGTACTAGTCACTATATAACTCTTAAGAGTTCAGCTAATACCACAATCAGTGTTGATGCTAAACTATTAAACAGGTTCCTGTTCATAAAGTACGTTTTATTCAATTACATGTAAATTGATACAAATTGGAATAAACATGGTTCAGTGATGCAAAAATCACAGAAATTTTCAAAGCTGTTATTTTCTTTATCTGGATTTTACACTTCACATAATGGTACCTTCAATTTTCATAACTAACCTGTCACACTTTGAATTATTGCTTATTCACAACTTTATTATCACATCAGATATTTTATTATTCCTTCTCCTTGAATTATTCCTTCTCTCCCAGTGTCAATGTGAAATGGAAACGTCATTGTACTACAGCTGGTGCAATGATTACAGAAAAAGTTACATCTGCTTCAAAGTTCATGGATAATATAAAGTGAAAAGGAAGAATTTGCACCAGAGAAACTTTTCTGGTCACTTGTACATCTCCATCCCTTCTCATTAATCAATCTGTCAGGCACAGTATGAAACAATGGTAATTAGATTAAGGTGTTTTATAAATAGAACATATTCTATGCATAGATTTCTAAATTAAACCCTTATCACATATTTTATATTGATATAATAAGAATGTTTATATATCTGTGTGCATAGATATACACATACATACATGTGCTGTGTACATGCTATACATTGAAATATGTTCTCTCATATTTTGCTAACAACTGAGAGGAAAAAATAGATCTTTATGGCAAGTATGAAACAGCAACCAAGCCTCTTTTCAGTACAGCCCCATAAGAACTCTGGATTCCAACCCTGTCTTGCAAACTGAAGACAGACAGCTCTGTCTGGTACAGTGTGGCCTGGAACCTCCAAACCTTACTGAGCAGCAGCATCACAACAGCCAGGCTTAATCTCATGTCTTTTAATTACAAACTGATTGGTATCATTCAGTACTTATAGAGCTGAAAAATGACAACAATTCATGCCTAACATAAGTAAGCATATAAACAGCGCTAATGCTTAGGATGTACTGTATTCCATGTCTCATTGGATGAACACAGGGTAAGCAAACATTTTAAATGGATATGTGGCAAAGATATTTCAAACACATTTAAGAACAACAGCAACAGAGACTTGCTATCTTTCTTTTACATATTCTTATTGTAAGGAAGAGTTATGAAAGGAATTGTTATGAACATACTTTTAGTACTTACCACTGTGTTGTATTTTTGAGAAGGCTTCAGCATTCCCCCACTGGAGGCAGCATGATGTCATTTTAGTTACAGCAGAAAATTTTCCTGTTAAGAAAAAATACATAGTGCTCTTCAGTAAATGAAGAAAAAAAATGCAAATACATGAGTCAAAAATGGTAAAAAAGTGGTTGCTTAGTAAATCACCTGTAATGCTATTTTTCAAGATTACAAAATGAGAAATCACAATATTAATAACCACACAATAAATACAATAACCAGACTGTATTGATTTCTGTAATAAAAATTATTAGCAATATTTTTTTCTCTTTGCAGACTGAACACTGCTAAAAAGACAGAATTGTCCTTAAACTTGTATACCACAAAAGCATACATTTTGAGAACCTGCTAAGGCAAGTAAATACTATGAAATCCAAGATACAGAAGAAATCATAACAAAACACTTTGGTTTTAAATATTTCTCAAAATATATATTATGCATAGCCAAATATAAAATTTCAATAGCCAAATACATAAAATTATATTCAATTTGATTTAAATAAAAATAATCACATTTTAAATGTCATTTTACTATTTTTTATTCTTTCCTATGTGTAATTGAAAACTTTAGTTTATACTTGAAATGACATTTCAATGGATAGACTATTTCTGAATAATCTATCCATGTTAGGTTTAGATTAAATTCCAGTATTTACCAACAGTCTGTTCTGTCAAAGTATCTTGAGACACTTTGATTTAAAACCCTTTTTAATAGTGTTAAGAAACGTATTTCAGGTAATTTTAGTATTTTCAAGACTTTAATACCTTAAATACTTGTCTTCCCTCCAAAGCCAGCAGACTTTATGGGATTTACTCATCCCCTGCACACATTTTGCAGGAGAAACATGCACTCTGTGTTTCTCTGTATTGCTCTTAAAGGCATTGGCACTTCTTACCATTTATTCTTTTTTTCATTAAGTTGATCAGCACACAGATTGTAAATTCTGCAATTTTAAACACAATGAATACTTCCTCATGAATGGTGTGACTCTCTACAACCAAACCACTCCCTGTAAGTGCAATTTATTACAACAGCTGCAAACAGAGGCCTCAATTCTGCGTAAACACAGTGATTATCTTTGTAAGTTGGAAATAAGTACCAGTGGACGGCTATGTGAACACACATCTGAAAAGAAGAAATTCTGAAATATGAATAAGGAATGTGTGAAACACCCTAGCTAAACTGTCAAAGTGTCCATCTGGACACTTGCTGCACGGGAAGTCTGGCAACACTGCGGCTTTTCATACACACCCATTGAGGAATCAGATGTTGAAGTTTAGGACAATCTTTATTCCAAGCTATGGTAATGCCTTAAATCTCTCCATATGACAGTGGCACTTTTACTGGAGATTTCACTGCTCACGTAGACTGACAGCCATTCCAATTCACTAACAGTAGTATGCGATTAAACTTAGGATATAAGAAATAAGGAAGGATTTAAGGAATGGCTGTCAATGGCAGTGAAAATCCACTAAGGCTAACACAGCTTCCCTTCTCAGTTATTTAAAACCTGCATTTCTTTGTTTCAGCATCCTTTATAGCTTAATTACTGCTAGAGAAAGAGAGGAGAAAAGAGAGAAGAATAGAGGAGGAAAGAACTCAGCTTTATTGGTAATTACAGGGTATGCATTTATTGTCTCTCCATGGTACCAAAATGGTCTCCAGCTTTAAAGCATTAATGAAGAAGATACTATTTGTGAACTAGGTTTTCCAAGTTTAACTCCTTACCTATGTGTCTATCCTTTTCACCTTTACATTATCTTACACTGTCTTCTAGTTGTCCTTGGCAAACTGAATTTGATTGTAGGTTATTAGGGTTATAATTTAAATTTTATGTATTTTAGTAAATAACAATGTCCCTTTAAAAGCTCTTGTTTAGACTTTATCTCTCTAAGAGTCAATTGCTTTAAAAAAAAGCAACAGCAAATGCTGCACTTCCTTTTTATCAGGAAGCATTAGGCACACATTAAAAGACTAGCGCTAAGACTAGCACTTAGACAAGGTATAGGCATTGTCTAAAGACTCTTTTTCTTTTTTAAAGAGTTATGTTGTCTTCATATCTGTGAAAACTGATTTCCTCATAATTACAAAATTTTAATAGAAATATTATGGGATCCTGGCAGTCCCCCTAAGCATATTTTTTTTCTGAAATCTATGCCAGATTTGCTTACCCTTCCACAGACACCTTTCTAACTTAAACCTAATGGTGCTATAATGGCCCTAGTTTTAATGCTACCCAGTTTAAGCTTACTTATTTGAGTAATTTCTCAGAACTACCACAACTGTCTATGATTTTATAGGTGATACAACAAGAACCCAGTAATACTGACATTCTGTCACTATGTACAGTCATCTTAGTCTACCTGAGAAAGAAAAATCTCTGTCTTACAAAAAAAAAAAAAAAAAAAGTTTTGTTTTGAACATGACGACCCACTTTCTCCAGCTATTCCTAAATCTTCTGCCAGATCCTGGTAATACCTAAATATGAACTAAAAACATTTTTTTAGTATTTGATGCTCAAATTTGTTCAACACAACTATTGGACTATTTTAATTAACTTCTGTTTGAGCAGATAGTTTCATGAAGTCCCTTTAAGAAAATGTACCCTTTTGAATTCAATTTTAGAATCTTTAAACACATCTTTAAACCTGTAACTTTTACAGTGTTTATACCCTTTTCACTTTCAATTCAGTTTCATAACAAGTTCTTTCTTTTGAAAATTTTCACAATAAGGTCTTCTCACTGTTAAATTGAAAAAAATTGTATCTAGGGATATATTTCACAGCAAATAATTTTTTGAGTATTTTTATCTATTAAAAAGAAAATCAGTGATTAAACAATGGGTGATAGAATATGCTGAGTTGGAAGGGACCCATCAGGATCATCAAATCCAACTCCTCGTCCCAAGCAGTATTCCCCAAGAATCGCACCATGTGCCTGAGAGCATGGGTAAATGCATGCAGGCAGTTCTGTGATATCCCCTCAGAATCAATAGTGCAGAAGTCAGAATATCAAGTAAGCAGATGTTGCTATTTCAACTCTTTATTGCCTGGACAGTTTGGGAGGACAGTGCTGTTCACAAGAGGAAAGCTAGATAGAGGGAGATCTCACAGCAGGGAACAGATACAGACCAGCTCGAGGTATATCAGAGATATGCAGATGAAATAATTTTTGCCCTGATTAAACTAAGTGAAAGCAAAATAACTAAATCTGACCATAGGCTTCCATTGTATTTTAGTGGGGAGAAAAAAGACATCCTGAATTGTAGACTTATAATCTTCATGAGTCAAAGAGTGTGGGCTTCAAGTTAGAAAACGAACAGCCCACTCTTCAGCTCTACCAGCTGAGCTAATGTTGATTTTGATTTATCCAAGAAATGAGTGGTGGTATCTTAATTTCTTTACTCGAACTAAATATAATTAAGTACCAAACAATGCAAAGGCAGTGAAATGTAATTTTCCTTTGCTGAATAGGCAGTAACTCTCTCTTTGCCTAAAGGGAGAAAATTAATCCAGAAAAATCCTCGCATTTTGCAAACCCATTTTGCAACTTTAATCAAAAGCATCACAGCAGAAGATAGGAAGCCTCTCGTCCACACACTCTTTCTCAATGTGCCTATTCTGAGTTACAGTCCTTGTCTTCGAGCAGATCAGAAAGAGATGTGAAATTTGTTTCTTCTTCCTACCTCTGACATACATACCTCATGATTCTCTGATCACCTATTTCTGTTTTAAATAATTGAACTTCTGAACCCTTCTGTACCTATAGTCTTGATTTCTGCCTGTCCCCTGAGGATACTCTTGTGGTAGCAACAGCCAGAGAAAAGCAGAGAGAAAAGATTGACACTCCTCTGAAGCCAGAGGTGAGGGACTCTATCTTCAGCCACAAATAAGTAAAATATCCCACAAAACAGGTGGGTGGCTTCAGAAAGAAACTACAAGAAAAAGAAAAAGAAAGATTAGGGTTGTATGAATCTTGGCAAGGTCTAAGGGCAGGAAAAAGTCTAGCAGAGACCAAAGATGAAGAGAGGAAGTAGGCAGAACAGCCTAACACAAACAATAAACAGAGACTGCTCTTCAGAGAAAATGGGCTGCTACCAAAGATACCATGGCAGCAGCAAAGGAGCAGTAACAGAAATGGAAAGGCTGAGGCCACCTCCACAGGATGCAGATGGAGAGGAGAAATGAAGCTGTGTGTAAGGCATGATGGCAGCTCAGAACAAGCGATGTGAATTTGCAATAATGCTTATTTTTTTCCCACAAAGTACTAACATTTATTGAGAAATCATCTTGTCTTCAGAATTATTTGGATATGAATTTTTGTTAATACAACTGGCAAAAGAGATTAATTTCTCATGTTAGCTACATCAGAAACATCCTGAACCACCTACGAAAAAACAAGATATCATACATGATATAGTAGACAAAAAAGATTAAAAATTCCTCCTTCATGAGGAGAATAAATTAAGACAAATATTTGAATAGAATATAATACATATTTCATTACAAAACAAAGGATGAAAGGATGACAATATTGGTGCAATGAGGTTCCAAACAAAGCCAATAATTAATACTACAGGTCAAAACCTGAAAAGTTGCAAGAAAAAAATAAAAATGCTGAAGACAAAAAAGAAAACAAACCAAGGCTAAAAAAAAAGCCAAAAAAACCACTAAAACCAAAACAAACCCAAAATACAACAAGCAGACTGCAAACAAAGACTTTAGACTCACTTTGAATCAAAACAAAACAAATCTTCTGAAGAATTTGCAAACTGCTATGAGAAGTCAGGAAGAATTAGACTCATGAAGCCTAGGCCCAAAACAGCAACACAGACCAGAGAAATGCTGAAGATGCAGAAGAGAGTAATTTGCCGTGTTAAGAAATTCTGAATGGCAAATGGAACGATAAATCCCCTTAGGGGAACTCTAAGAAAGTAACAATGCCTAAAAAAGCATGTAGAACAAGGCACAGAAAAACCAGGGGACATAAGAAATGTTAAGTCTAAGGTCAAAGAGAAGGGGAGAGTGCCAGCCTGTGTCAAAAGAAA